AGAGAAGGGCAGTGAAGCTGGTGAGGGTTCCTTCAGTACTCAACTTCAAAAAGCTTGAGTTTTTTTGGCCACAGTTCTGCACACAGGATGAGGAGAATGATTCATAAGAAAACCAAACCTAGAGCACAGAATTCAGAACCAAAGCAGAACATTCCAATCCATTAGAAGTTACCATGTTTGAAGTACAAGACACAGGCTTGAAAATGCAGTATGCACCAAGCGATCTGGACAAGAAATTTCACTTGGGACTTGTGATCTGCACCTCTGTCTCAGGAGTAAGTACTATGGTATCAAGAAAGAACAACTTTCTTGCAGGACAGGAAAGAGCAACGTTTGAGCTAGTTACATAAAAGCTGGGACTGTGCCGCTCTTCTGCTTGCTGACGAGCATGGTAGTTCTAGGACCAGGAGAGAACTTGATCCCCAGCAGCAATCCTCCTTCCAGAGGCCATAGGAGTAAAGCTGTGAGCAGAGTGGATTAACAGATTTTTCAGAGACATCAGGATCCTCTTTGTCCTCTCATTCTCCGTAGCACATTCTTCTTTAATCCAACCTCTGCAGCTTTGTTCCACATTTCTTTCTCAATAAACAGATGGTTTCTCAGCTGCTGCAAGGCATACACAACTCCCACAGGCAGCTAACGGGACAAAAGAGAAATTATATGGGAGCTCTCAACAAGCAGCAGGGGCTCTAACATTCTATTTTTGTTAGGTTACATTATAGCAACTCCTCTGCATGACCACAAAGGAGCACAGAGAAACAATGGAAGGGGAAAGACCAAATAATACCCTACTGGGATGCTCGCAGGCCCATCACAGAAGCATCACCAGCTTATCCAAGTTCCATCTGTGCAAGTCTGGAGGTGCAGAGGGGCAAACAGAATGATAATGTAAGGACTCTAGGGAAGGGACACCCTGACTGGTTGCCTCCCTGGGCTGTCCCAGGACAGCTTTAGCCCCACTGTCCAGGTGCATAACCCATGAAGATGAGTCATTTGGGACAACAGTCTGGATGTCTTCAGACTGACAGGCAGTTGCTTCCCAGGGGTGCTGGACACCTTACGGGATGCAGAGGAAGAGCATTCTGAAATTTCACAATCAAAAACAGTGAAAATTCAGTTGAAGATCTCCTATAACAACAAAAAAATTACTATCGTAGAACAAGACAGCAACATTCTTAGAACTAAACCAGCGCACAGGTCAGGAATCAGGAATAATCGCTTTGCCTTTTTTTTTTTTTTTTGATAAAATACATCATTGCAAGTAGTTCAATGCTTAAGATACCTTGTCTTAAGGTACATTTCATAAGACCAATATTAACCCAGACCAAAATACCAGATAAACATTCAACTTCTAAAATCACAGCCATACTTATTCATATACTACTACGCTATTAAAGGCATCTTTATTTCATTCCCAGAGGTAGTTCCAGGAGTTCATCCATCAGAGCTCTACAGCCCTGTCATTAAAACAGAATTAGTATCTGGAAACCATTTTTGTGTCATTTTCAAGCAAACTGTAATGCTAGGTTGTGACACCACATTAACATTTGCTTTCCAAACACAGCAACACTGCTTATTTAATCTCACAGGTAAGACTGCAAAAAAGATTCTAAAATCTCTTCCACTAAGCAGAGAAGTTTTCAGTAGTTCTGTGCCTTTGCCCTCTCAAAGCTCTGCAACAAAGCTTCCCTCTGTAGCCTTGAAGCTACAGCAACCTTCCACTCTCATCATTCAGTGTGAAAACAATCCCTGAGCTGGACACAGAACCTGTTGATAGGACACGTGGAAAAACCGCCTTTGGATAGGCTGAAGTAGAGCATGCATCTGAGCAAGCTGCAGTAGATCTTCACAACCTATCTTCTCAATATACACACAAAAATATCTGATACATGCCTCTCAATTTTCCATATTCTTCAGGAAATTATCAGTTAGCAGCAGCAAGCTGTGTAACCTCTACAGGTTGAGCCTGTTTTCCCAGCACATCATGTACTGTGCCAAGGTTAAGACTCTACACCTATTACAAATGCCACTGCTAGTCCTGAATGGATTTTGAACTACATTCCAGCAGTCATTTAAATCCCTCTCTACACACCTAAACACAATCAACCCTACAATACTAATGGTACAGAAATTCCACACCGTAACACTAAACACTTTTCAAGATGTATTTGAAATCAACACTGCTTGCATTTCACGCAAACATGGGACAATATTAAAGAAGTTCCTCAATTTCATCTGTCGATTTATATTCATTTTATTATAAAATAAATACAAACCAAAGCATTTTTACAGAAATATATGTCAGTCTAGCACTGAGTCGATAGGGTCTGCCTAGACATTTTAGAAGAACAGCAACACGTGAGACCTTTTCACAGAGGAAGCAGTACAGCAAGAACCTTAAGGATGCCTTCTCATCAAGGCTGTACAGAGGAATCTGAAAGACCAGATATTCTCACATAGACAAGATTGTGCTTATTCACAAACTTCTTCAGTATCCGAAACCTCTTCACCTGAGCTTTGCAGCCTTGGTGTGATACATATTTGAAGTACTTGCAATCTAGGAAAAAAAAAATAAAATTAAGTTATACTGTGATACAAGCAAATACAAAATGCTTTCCCTGTCTAAATAACATGCAAACATCTAGGAAAGTTTTCTTAATAAAATAATCCAAGACAGGCACATTAGAGATACAACTGCAGCATTAAATAATCTATCCTCATTTCGACCTGAAAACATCCTATAAGTATATAACTGTATGTGTGTCCTGCAAAATTTCAAATAGATCACTAAAGAGAAAAAAAAGAGTAAAAACAAAGTAAAATTTTAAGGTTGTAAAGCAGCATGTATTTCATACATTAACTTACTGTGTTGGATAAGGAAAATAGTGGCTCATATTAACACCAATAAGCACAGAAACTTCATTAAAGAAAAAACAGAGTGGGAACAATTTTATTAGCCATCTGAAAATAATGGCTGGGAGATAATTTTATAACATATTACTGAAAGAAATTAATTCCAATATAAAAAAAATGGAAGTCCAGTAGATAAAGTTGTAGAAAAGCTGTCTATCAACCAGAAGCCCAACTGGTCTGTAAGCCACAGTCTCCACACCATATTCTTGTTCTCAACTTAGCAGCTCCTCTTGGTATTCCACTTGGTTTTGGCAGCATTTCAAAGAATGCTACTGAAGAGGTCATGATGTTCATCTTCTTACCAAACTGCTGATGGCTTTCACTCAGGACCCCCTGTCCTCCTCTTTCCTGCCTAACAACACCCCCACGGTCCTTAACGACCAGCTGCTACCCAGCGTTTGCTGAGACACTGCCTGAGCTGGCATCCAGCAAACAAACCTTCCACGGCCCTCACAACACTCAGGAGCATGTTGTGCATTTTTCAAATTGTGGTCTGAAGGTTAAACAACAAGATAAATAGTACTGTGACTGCTCAGCAAGGCCAGATAAAATAGAATAGAAACCAGGGTAAGACAAGTTATGCAAAATATGCCTCGCTGTCGAATAGCAATCCAATTTAAAACATTTTTCTTATGTTCAGTTTCAAAGGCAATCTTTCCTTGAAGAAAGAAACTATTTCTTCCAAGGAATAGATCAGCTGCATCCTGACTCATTAGGGCTAAAGCTAGATAATGATTTCTCTTCCATGCTGTGAAAAGGAAAGAACATTTAGTATTACCCTTTCCCAGTAAGATTCCAGCCACCAGAGCTTTTTCGTAAGAAAGGCTTTCGCTTTCCTGCCAATTCCTTTTTGCCAAGTAATGGCTAAAATGGAAGGCTGGCCACCAGTCCTTTCTGGAGTTCCACTCTTGCTTGATCCAGTCAAGATGCTTCTCAGAACTGGAAAAAAAAAAATATACAGGTAAAACACGTTACAGAAAAGCTTAAAATGAAAAGGTGTTTAGAACGTACTGAATTTTATAATCAGCTTGCTACGAGTCTAATGAATTGCTAGCACAGACACACTGACCTTATGCTGCAGACTGAAATACTAACCTAAACAGAAATTACTTTTTTTTTTGGTAATCCCTGGCAACACTAGTGAGGCAGGAGGTGAACTCCAGCAGTCTTATTTAGACAAGGCAGTAACACAGATTATGGTGTGAAATGAAGCAAGCCTTTGACTTGTGAGCCAGTTTGTCAACAGTAATAAGAAAGTTTCTTCAAGTTGGTCAACAAGTTAATAGCATGAAGGGGTTGGTTTGTGTTTAGAAAAGGTGTGCATTACTCTACACATACTCAAAGACTAACTTATCCAGTAACAGCTTTGCAATAAAACCTTAAACCAAGCATTTCAGAACTAAAAACTACTTAAAACAGGGAAATTATACTCCCATAAAACAATCAAGATGCCCAGTATATTTCAAGATACTCTTGTACAAGACACTTTGTGTCTTCAAATGAAAAACTGCAGGCAAATTTAGAGTATCATAACGTTTTTACTAACCCTATGCAACAACACTCCTAACTTTAACCCACCAGCTTCTGGACTTTAACAGCAGATGCTGTGTAGGCAGAAGTGGTCATAAAACAGCAAAACAGGTCAAATTAAGTACTGAATTAATTTACTGTAAATACACAGGGCTTAAAACACACAACACCCTGTTTTTGGGTACAATAAAGTCTAGAGATTGGAGGCCTTCTGGACACAGGTTGCCCAAGATGGCTTCTTCTGACATCAGAAGCCATGTCTGTCAGCACTGGCAAGGACACATAAACTGCCAGGCAATTTGGCTCAGCTTTTCAGCATACACTGGCTGCATTGGGTAGCAGTTACCACCATCCCACAACACACCAGTCTGTGTGGTACCAGCCACGCCCCTACTCCAGCCCAGCAACTCTCCAACCAGCTTCAAATAATGCACACGTAGTAACAAAGCAGAACACCCAACAACTAGTTTTTCCTCCAGCCCCCCAAAAGAGGGAGATTCATGACAGGCAGCAAACACTACCCAAATATCTGAATAATTCTTCCTGCACAAGCACATAACCATACTGGAAATCTGAAAATCTCCTCATTAATAATTTCTTTTCTCCCAATGAAAGGGTGCTGCAGTCAAGCACTGGCACAGAACTCAGGGTAGGCCAGACAACTCTTCCATTCACCAGCACCAAGACAAAGGCTACAAAGGGTCACTTTGTCCATTGCCCAAAGGTGGAGACTTGGCATATTTAATTTTAGCCCATTGTATCAGAGATATTACTGACACTTATCAATATTTAAAAGGGTGGATGTCTAGCGGATGAAGTTGGTTTGGTCTCCTTGGTGCCCAGTGATAGGACAAGGGGTAAAGGACACCAACTGGAACACAGGAAGTTCCACCTCAACTTCAGGATAAACTTCTTTACTTTAAGGATGCCAGAGCCCTGGCACAGGCTGCCCAAAGAGGCTGTGGAGTCTCCTTCTCTGGAGACTTTCAAAATCGACCTGGACATGTTCCTGTGCAACCTGATCTAGGGGAACATGCTTTGGCAGCGGGGTTGGACAAGATGATCTCCAGAGGTCCCTTCCAAACCCCACCATTCTGTGATACTTACATTACAATTTGTTTCACCTGTCTTGCCAAACAGCTCCACGCTTTTACATTTTCCTTCCAGCCAGCATAATCCAAGGCTGCAAAAATAACTTCTAGCCCCAGGCGACGTTTTTTTCTTTTCTCTGGAAGAAGATTAGGCTGATTAATTAATTACTTAGCTCAGGCTGAATGCATTAGTAAACAACAAGTGAAAGAGAGTTCTCCATCCTGGCTCCCCAGATACTGCTACTATCCCTGTTACTGAGGGTTCCTCCCATTGCCTTCTGTCTCTTCCAAGAGATAAAGTTAAGGAAGACTTTCTGGCTCCAGAGCAAAACTCATACTAGAGACACTCTGTCCCTATTCCCATCCTGCTCAAAAACTGCTGACTTGAGAGGCACACACAGGACCTTTTACTTATCTCACAGTGTCTTGCTTGCCATAGCTGCTCTTTCCAAAGCTCACTGCTTCCAACTGGCACTGCTGTTCAACATGTTCTTCCCATGGGAAGAAGACACAATGCCTCTGGAACACTTCAAATCATTAGATGCCACCAAAAAAGGTGAAATCTGAGACTGCCATTTCACATCAGTAGTTATGTATCAGCAGAGCTCTTAAAATACTTTCTTCTTCACAGATCAGATCATGTGCATTAGCTAAGAGAAGTTTGTGAACGTGTCACAGATGAACAGCAAAAGGGAGGTTTCAGCCAGGAGGTTGTTTCTTCTCCCCTCCCAAAGAGGAAAAGCAGAAGAGAGAACAATCCTGATTCAAGGGCATTTCACCAATCTGCTGACTTGCTGGAACATACCAGATCACAAGAAGACAAACAGCTTGAAATGCAATGGAGCAGAGTGGAAAAACAGTCTCCAAATTGGAGACTTTTCTACCTGCTAGAAGAGGAGGATGATTTTGTTCTTTGATCAATGACAATGAACAAAAGCATAGATCCAGCTCAATTCCTCCAGAAAAGAAAAATTCCAAAAAGGGAATCCAGACCCTGACATTAAGAGTAGGGTACCTCAAAAAAAAAAGTTACTTTTGAGATCCTGGCTGTGCCTTACAGCAGTTTGCTTTGATCAGCCTTTAGAGTCAGAAAGGTATTTGTTTACAAAAGTTTGTAAATGCCTGCTCACACATCCAACCTAAAGGTTCCTGTGACTGGGGAGTTGGGATTTGGGGTTGGGTATTTTTTTTTCTTAACAAACAAAACTATTTTGAAAAAGCAGGAAGAAGTCTTCAGAATAATTTCAGATTATTCTAGATTAACATAAAGGAAAAGAACAAAGATATTTAAAGACTTACTTGATTTTTGAAGCATGGTATTAAAATCTATCATCAGTTCATGAGAAGGAACAATATCGTGCAAGATCTGAAAATAAAGACAGACCCACAAAACCCAGATACGTTATGTTAATGTGAAAGCTTTTGAAGACTTCTGCCTGATCAAGAGAAGCACAGGCTCCAGAGTTTGGGGTGTTTTAGGAAAATTTAGCAATCTGGAACCTCAGCACCTTGATGTAAAGGATAATCACCTAGGTCTATTTTGCAGACCGGACTGCAGCTTTTGGACCTATCAGACCAGTTCTCTGACTTGTCACTATCTTGTACGAGACTAGTGCCTAAAGCCACTGCTAAAAAGCACTGAGAAGATGGAATTTTATACATGTAGGCTACAGTTTAAAACTTGACACTTTATGAAGCTGTTTTAAAACACCTGCCCCAACAAAAGCACATTAGTGCCATCAAGTGGCAACACAGACTGCAAAACATTGCTTGCAAGAAGCTGCCGAGATCCATGACCAGGGGCATGGAAAGTGGGAATTTAAAAGCAGCTCTACACAAAGACTAATAAAGCAAGGCCTGGACTGCTAACAGCCTGCAGAAATTAACTCCTCTTCTAGCTTAAATGCACAGCTCACTGAAAACAAGCAGAGAAACTAATTGGTAGACAGAATAGATGTATGAAAGAGCAGGCATTTAATAATTTCTTCAATATTGTAAAGACCAAACTGTAACAGAAATCTGTGTGCATGACATACATGACTACCAACAGACTTCCAGAACCACAAAAACGTGTCCTCTGAGCTTGTTTACTGGCCTTAAGAAGCTATACCATGTAGCTAAAGGAAAAACAAAGACTTGACCTCCAAGGCAGTAAAGGATGCTGTTTGCCCCACCATTGGCATCCCTCTCACTAGCTTTCCTCTAACCCCCTGCTCCCCACGAAGCATGCAGGAGGGCAAACGACGTTACAGGGGTTCAGCTGAACCCAGCTGCCAGACCCCCATGGAGCAGTAACGGCCCCAGCCTGTATCTCATACAGCACAGGTACCTTCAGTGCAGATACAAGCGCCTTCTTTGATTCGCCATGTCTCTTCAGGAACTGGTAGAGGTAAACATGAGCATTGGGGTTAGCAGGGAACTTTGAGTTGTAGGCATATTCATTTAACACTTGGCGGGCTTCGTTATGGTCTCCGTAGAACTCCAACAACTAGGAGAAGTGAAGTCCGTCATTAGTTTGCCGCATATGAGCAACTGAACTCTTACAACTAATTTTGGGCTGCCGCAGAACTATCCAACAGCATAGCCTGTATCTAAATAGAGTGGAGGATATTAGGTAAGACTAAGACCAGAGTATTTTCATTGTACCAGCTGCTCTCACCACTGATAAGACAAAAATTCACACAGAGAAGCCACTACAGGGGAAAAGTCCTTTAACACCTGTCAAAGAATTACCAGCACATGCTCACTGGAAAGAGACACTGAAGCAGCCTGCCATGTCTTTAGAGAGAGAATTCAATGAGAGAACTTGGCAGCTGCCAGCATCACGCAAAATTCCATCAGATGTGCTCAGAGAAGTCAGAGCTTGTGAACATTTACAAAAAGTAAATAATTTCAAACAGATTTTAAGATTAACTTACTTCATTAATTACAAGTACCAAGCAACTATAAGAAAAACCAAAAAAAAACCCAAAACAAAACCCCACCACAAAGCAAAGGACTGCACACACATCTGGTGTCCTTAACATTTAGTGTACCCAGGAAAACACTGCCCTGCCAAAAAGAGAACTTTTTTTCAGGAATTTAAACAAAGCAGCTGTGCTCCACATTCTGTACTAACAACATGAAGACTAAACATGCAAGCGGTTTGTCTACTCCTTTTTCTTGCCAATGCACAGATAAAGCTCTTTTTGTACTCCGTGCAGGCTCTGCAGCTCTACCAGGAGTAAACCACACTCTAAATCAAAGCCCATCAGATTGGCATACAGATGCGTTGCTTTTAAAATACTTAGTTGTCACCCTCACACAAAAAAAAAAATCTGCAGACAGACATCTTAATGAAAATTCAACAGGGCAAGCCAAGAGGAAGGTATCTGTAAAACATGCCCTTACATCCACATAGCATTTCACAAATTGATCCCAGACTCCAGGTATTTTAATAATCTCCTTTAAGTTCACTGCTGCCTTCCGAAAGCAACTGTGCATTTCCTGTTCAACAGACAAGTCTTCAAATGCATCCTCACCTACCAAAACATGAAAGAACACCACAAAGTTAGCTCTGCTAATCAAAAGGGATATTGGAAAAAGTGATGCACCTAAGAGATAATCCCACTTTGCTAAGCAAGGACTCCAGTCAGAGAGCTTTTAGGAAAAGTAGCCTCAGTTTGTTCAGTATTGAAATAAAAAAATTTTCACCATTCTTCATTCAAATTTATTATCACATCCAATTTCAACATACGAGGCACAATGGGTAGCATTCCATGACCAGATGCTACCAGCACGAGGTCTATAAAACAAATTAAATACTTAAGTTTTCACAGAAACAAGCAGAGAGCTGTAACTGACAACACCCAGCCAACAGATATATACAGAATTAGATGACAGACACAAGTAATGACTGAAATATATTTTAAAGAAACTGAAATTCAAACACAAGTTATAGGGGCTTTTGCTAGCACTCAAAAATCCAGCAGCAGTCAAGCACTTGCCTATTAAGCCACTGCTGTATGTGACTATGTTCCTTTGATCATTGTTTTAGGTGATGCTGGCTGGATATAAGAAATGTGATTTGTGGAGAGAAAAAGTTTCAGAATAACATTTTGGGATGCTTCAGAGAAGTGCAGGTCAGCATGCCACTTTGGCATCAACCACCACCACTGCTCATGAGCTACCTACCATCCATCCCATCAAATTTTCAAGTCTAGTAAAGGAAAAGGTGTCATTAAACTGTGGTGTCTGCATGAGCAAGCAAATTGAAGTTTACAGCTCAATATAAAAAGTACTGACCATGCTCTAACAGGATGTTCTTCTGCTTAGACCAACTATAGTAGTCCAACAGTGCCCTGTAAGCCTGAATCAGCTTCATTTCTTTAGCCTGAATGGCTGTTTGTTCTCCAAACCTCCAGCTCTCTGCCTGGCACAGGTTTTGGTAAGCTTCATCTACGAGTCCGTTACAAAGGAGATGAAAGGTGTGCTCTAAGCAAACCTGCAATTCAAACAGTCACCCCACAGAGACATTCTCAGCAAAACAGCAGTTCTACACAGAGATGTAGTGAAAGAAGAGACTCGTTACTGACATGCATATAAAACGTTGCAAACAGAATAAGGCATTTTAATCAGAAGGATATTTTACTCGTATTCCTTCACCCAAATAGTACCTTAACAAGGAATTTTGGAGAAAAACGCAGGAATGGGAGAATGCAAGTGTCACTGAAGACATGGAGATGAGCCAAGAACCCAAGTCATTTTTTTTCTGTCTGAAGATGCTGGCACACATTAGTAATTACAAGCGCATCTCATTTACAAAGATTTATCCCTGGGGAGGGAAAGGGCGGAAGCTCCACAAAGCTGTGAGGCAGCAAGTCCTCCACCAGGTGGGAGACACTCCATGGCACTTAGCAAGGTAGCAGAATGCAGTTGTCTCAAAGCCCCACCTGTCATTAACAAGTGCTGTACCTACTCAAGAAGATCCAGAAACAACTTGAGGAAATGCAGTTGGGTTATGTTTGCTGACTGTTCATTTGGCTACCCAACTGCAGAACCTCTGAAAGAGGTATGTCCTAACACCTTATCATGTCTATTAGGCACTGGATAAAAGCCTAAACCTTCAGTTAGCTCCAGTTAACTCTCATACAGAACTGTTGAAGGCCTTGAACAAATACAACAGAATGGAAGACAGGAGGATCATCACAAGCGAGAAGCATTCAAGGAAATTGAAACAATATAGGTTTGAATGAGTCACTAGAGGAAAAAAAAATCCCAACTACAGCTGGGTGGCACAGGGGTCCACAGAATAAGGCCTGTTTGTTTATATGCAGATTAGCTACTCAGAAAGCAAGCTGGTAACAGTGGCAAAATTTAAGTCCAACTATTTAGTCAGAAGCACAGCGGCTAAACTAAGAACTGGAAACGAAACTTGGCAGGTGTTAACATGTCATTAGATATTGCAGGGTCATACATGAAAAAGAATGTAACCGTTTCAATACAAATTAAAAGGTTAATTAAAGGATCTAGACACTCCTAAGGACTGACAATACAAATCTGTGATCAAATATATAGACCAAATGAGATATGGTTAGGTACAGAATAACCCTGAAAATATCGCACAATTAGGAATTCAAATGTATCGTTGTTTGTGGTTCTTTTTTGACACTATTATTAGTAATACATTTCAGAAATTACTAAGTGTTAAGGTAAACATGGAAAATTATTGAGACTGCACTAAGCAACTCACCTTCAAATACCTTTTCACTCCTAAAGTTTTCATCTGCTCTATGAAAGAGTTGAACTCTTTCGTACTGCTATGAGAATGATGGCACAAAATTTCAGTTCCCATCCTCCAAATAATCTATTAATGGGGAGAAAGATTAAAAAATAACCTTAGTACAGAAACATCAACAGTCACTGTATACAAAGTCTTATTAAACATAGTTACTGTAACATGAAAAAAATGTACGTTTGAATTGCAAATAAAAAATGCTAAGTATTATCTACTGCTACAGTAATCTCCATATTCATCTAGGAGGACTTTTACAGTCAGTGAGTGCTTCATAATTGCTCATTATAAATGCAGCACTCCAGCAAAGCTTATGAAAACTGTATGTGAGAAGTTTCCCCCTCCTGTTACTGAAAAATTATGCTTTCCTTTGATATGATCCCGCTGAGACACAAGGCATATATAATTCTTTGAGCTTAGTAATAGAGATTTTCAATTAAAAATAACTTCCCATGTTGTTATATTCCAATTAGATGTAGCTTCCCATCTACAACACACTTGTTTTCAAGATCTGCCTACACAATGCAACCAAATCCTCCACCAGGCTAGCCTCCTTTGACTACTTCATTTACTTAACAGCTCTGATCCCTTTCCTCCTACCTTTTCTCAGTACCTGCCAGGAGTTTGGCAAGTACTAGAGGAGCTAGTAAAAATCCACACAGCCCACTAACTTCCAAACAGATTCTGACCGATAGCATGCCAGCAGCAAACACATTTACTGCTTTCTCACTGTAGAAAACTACTTTAAGACAACTTTCTCATAGATACACTCATGATGAAATTAACTTATACCAAGCCAAGTTTTCATCTGTTGTGTCACGTGCCTACACTAAAAAAACAAAAACCCAATGAAACCTCACAAAACCAGCCTGCAAGCCCAGAGAACCTTCCAGGAGCACTGAGCACTCTGCCAGGAAAAACGTCAGACAACACTGCAGATTCTCAGCAACCCTGAAAGTGTGATCACAGCAGAATTTTAGCTCCAGTAAGATTGGTTAAACAGACAGCAGAGGCACGCCTGTGCAGAGGCAGACTTTTGGCGAGCGACTGGACTGCATGCTGCCTTGAGCACCATCCATGATGAGGTCTGGTGCACTCTCTGCAGCTTGCCATCCCAGAGTTTCCACATCAGCACCCAAGTAGTTGCTTATTTGGTGTTGGAAGCTTCAATATGAAAGCTGCCTAACTTTGCAGGTCTTACCTATGATACCATTTTTTTTAAAGTAAAAAAACCAAATTGAGCCTGTGATCGGTTAATTAAGACCAATGTTGGTATGAAGAATTATAGATGCTTCCTGCAAGTATTTTTTTCAACTGCAAAAGAACTCTGGTAAGGGATATTAGCTTACCTCTGATGGATTCACAGGTTCTCGAGAAAAGTCTTTCTCTAGTGACTCAACATAGAAGGACAGAAACTCTGCAGCCTTTTTCCACTGCTTTTGTAGCACAGCATCCTGAATGTAACTTAAACATGCTTCCTTGCTCTTCCTGAAGTTTAATTTGTGTTCACGGGAAGATGCTAAACAAACAAAATAAATTTTAAGGATCAACCAAGCCCACACCTGTCACAGTCCTTATTTAGATAATGTGTCAACCATTTCGAGATCTTTCTCACACACTACAAAAAGTCATCTTCAGCTGTGTGGTTTTAAAGTTAGACAACCCCACTACTCCACAGGGAAGTGAGACTATGCCAAAAGCTGGAAATATCCTATGAGGTGAAATTTTCCACAAAAAGCACACAGCTGCATACACTTGAAACAGAGATGATTATTACATACCACCCTATGAAAATGAGAAGACTGCGGTACTTTGATAACTTCACAGGACACTGTGTTATATTTTGCGGACAACTCTCTTCCCTTCCTAATCATCATCAAAGCTTTTGACCCTGCTATGCTAAAGATTTGCATACAGGCCATTCAAGTACCAAAAGCTAAGCAGTTGGGCAGGTATTGGAACAGGCTGCCCAGGGAGGTGGTGGAGGCACCATCCTTGGAGGGATTAAAAAAAAACCTGTAGACATGGTAATTCAGGACATAGTTTAGCGGTCACAGTAGCGCTGGGTTGATGGTTGGACTTCATGATCTTAGAGGGCTTTTCCAACCTTAACGATTCTATGATTCTATTTCTAACCTCAAAGGTTCCAAGTGCTAAGAAAATCAAACCCACAGTGAACACTGCAAGACTGAATAGGACCGTGGCTCCTGCAACCAAGCTCTGCTAATAAAGCTGCTGAGAAGCCACCTGACGTGGACAGAGCTGATGTAAAGTGCTTCACAGCAAAGCTACTTTGAAGCGACCTTCTCTAGGGGTGTCGCGGTCCCCCGGACCCAGAAGGCTTTCGTCACTAGCCACCTCATGGGCCCTTATTTTATGATCAGCGCATCCACGGCGGCCAAGGGGACCAGGAACAGCTCGGAGGGAACGGGGAATCCCAACCGCCTCCTCGGCGGGAGACGGATGGCGAGACTCAGAGGGAGCAGGCCGGCCCCGATGCACGGCGGGGTCGGAGGAAGGGGAGAGGGACGGCGGCTGCAGGGCGAGGAGGAGCGGGCGCAGCTCCGCCCTTACCCGGCTTGCAGAGCTGCGGCAGGAGGAA